CAAAGATGTACCAAACCGTCCAGTCATGAACGATGGTTGCGCTCTCATGTCTAGACATTTTGCTAATGCAATCTGCGATCAATTAGGGATTACTGGAAACACCCCTAGCGCTTTTCAAGGAAGGATTGCGGGTGCTAAAGGGCTATGGATGGTGGATCGCCACAACTCTGACATTTCTGTAGGTGCTGATGATTTCTGGATTCAGATATCTGATTCCCAGCTGAAGATCCAGCCGCATCCGCAGGCTTGGAGGGGACCTGTTGATGATGAAAAACTCACATTTGAGGTGGTCAAATGGTCCAAACCCTTACGCCCGGTGGAACTAAACACCCAGTTGCTTGCCATTCTGGAGCACGGGGGACAGGTCAGGGAGTACATTGCCGAGCTCACCCGGGCTGGCATTAGGGCGATTTCTCAAGACTTTGCCAGCGTGCTGGAGTCTAACAGCGCTGTGTTATGCCGTAGCCTTGTCCAGAAGATCAAGCCTATGGCCGATGATGGCTCATCCCCGATGAGCCAGAGGATGAGACGCCTGGAGCAGTGGACTGCTAACGATGCGGAAGCTATCATCAGGCTTACCGAAGCTGGGTTCACCCCACGGAGTTTCTATCCCCTACGCAAGCGGCTGGGAAGATGTCTGAGAGACTTGCTTGACCGCTACGTGGACGAGTTACATATCGAAGTCCCCCTCTCCACTTATGCCTTTTGCATTGCAGACCCGTACGGTGTTCTTGAAGAGGACGAGGTGCATTTTGGATTTTCAAACAACTGGCGCGATCCCTGGGGGCAATTCGAGGACAATCTCCTTGACGGCATGGACGTTCTGGTCGGTCGTCTCCCTGCACACGTACCCTCCGATATCCAGCGGCGACGGGCCGTGTGGAAACCGGAGCTTCGGCACTTCAAGGATGTCATCGTCTTTCCCACTACGGGGGACATTCCACTGGCACATATGCTGTCTGGTGGCGACTACGATGGAGATACACCGTGGATATGTTGGGACCAGAACATTGTGCAGCGCTTTCAGAATTCAGACCTGCCTACAAAGGAGTTCCCGCCGGAGCATTTTGGACTCACAAAACATTCCGTGCCCATGAGAGACATACAGTCGACGGACGAGTTCCTTCAGAGTGCCTTTACTTTTAACCTGACGACGTCGAATCTGGGCCGATGCACCGTTGAGCATGAGAAGATTGCATACGACGAGTTGATTGACTCAGCCAAAGCCAAGGAGCTGGCCTGTCTGCTCAGCCATCTGGTCGACGGCCGCAAAGGAGGGGTGCACCTGTCAGAGCAGGCCTGGCAGCAATACCGGAAGAAGATCAGCCCCAAGGCTCGAGAGGTTCCCGCGTATAAGAACGCGGGGCGCAAACCCAAGAAAACCAACATCATAGACTACCTCAAATTCGATGTAGCCCGTGAGGAGCGACATGCAGTGCTAAAAGACCTGCAGCGAGCGTTTCCGGAGGATGACAGCGTGTACGATCGGGATGAAGATCTCATCCGTCGGTGGAACGAGGCCCAGCGGGAAGCAGAGATTGAGAAGCAAGGGGAAAGCGAGCACGGGCAGCTCCGCACCGCGCTCAATTATGCCCAGCGGGAGGTCGAAAGACTCTACAGCCAATGGATCAGCTCAATTTCAGGGGAGAACTCCTTCTCGCCCCTTGCGCGCGAGGCGGCAGAGGAAGCGCGGAAGATCCCTCCGCCGTCCCTTGGGGATCATCCAATGATCCATATGTGGCGACATAGCAAGGATGAATGGCTTCGACTGTTGGCCTCGTACACGTACCGGAAGCATAGCCATGCCAGTTTCACAATCCACGCCTTTGGTGAGATCCTCTGCCAAATCAAGACGAGCAATTTGCCGTCCCGGTCGGTGACCAATGAAATTCTGGCTTGCTACCGGGTCAATCACAAGGCGATCAGCCAGCTTACGGCGAAGGATGCTGTTGATGAGGAGTCCGATGATGGAGATGAATATGAAGGGGAAGATGCTGTGGAAGCCATGCTGTACAGGATGCACATGCCTGGTGCATATGAGGACGCCGAGGACGACGGGCTTTCTGTAGAGTGATCAATTACATTTGTGTATTTTGTCTAGTCTCTAGGATATGTGTACACAACTTTGGATTCACTGTAGAACTTGCTTCGGTATGTCGGTATGGTGTAAGAGTAAGGCCAGTTACTCCGAACCATTGAAGCCTTTGATGCCTTGTGGCCTTAGTCACCTTGAGAAATGCGAACACGTGCCAGGATACGTAGAAGGCGGTCAGGCGGCATTACAGCACGATCACATGTCGCGGCAGTTTCCAGAAGCGGGAATCGTTGAGGATCAGAAGCAAAAGTGCTGGGGTACGGCGCTCGAGACAAGGGGCAAGGCTCAATCATAGACATTCATAGGTAGTCCATAATACCGAAAATACCAGCATGTGATGGGCATGCCGATGGTCTTGCAAGGATCCATCAATCACAGCGAGACGGTCGTCGAGGGATCCGTTTTGGGGGGGTCGATGACGATCCTGAACCATGCAGAAGTGAAGATTGTGGAGAGGGGATGTTCCCCGTCACATTCAGCCTATTTCGGACGACATGGGCCTGTCACGACTACTTGATGGTGATGCTGAGCAGGTGAAGCAATTATTGTCCAGTATTAGGATGATTTAGGAGTTAGAGTAGTAATAATTGACAAGAGCGTAGATTCGGGTCCAGTTTCCTCCTCTGTATCCCAATCTCGACCGGACATGCTCCGTTGGGCCACTCTCTTTTTCCTTGCACGTGAAAGCAGCAGCCTTGGATTCTGATTCTGATCAATCACTCGACGCCATCACCGCCCACGCCTGAATCCTCATTTCCCGCTCATGCTTGTGCGAGCTATTCTTATCTCCCATTTTAACTATTAGGAGCGTCTGTGATCGTCAATCACATTCCTATCCAGGACGAGCGCCACCGCTGGTTCAGTCTACTACATAGTTGTAGCGACTCTGCAAACTCGATACGGAGGACCGACTCCGGAGAATCCAAGTAGGTCTATCTAGGACTAAATTCTGATCCAGGATACCCCAGTCTCCAGTGGGATCATAGAAATAACACCAGGAACAGCGCTATTCTCATGGAAACCCGTCTGGTATCGTCTGGCCGAGACGCCGCTACCACTACCACCACCACTACCACCACCACATCGCAGACGCCCTCCTCCCACTCCTCTTCATCCGCCTCTTCTCCCTTCTCCGCTCCTGCTACCGCTTTCTCCTCGTTTCAGCATGTTCCATCCTCCATGATGGATGTCGATAACCATTCCGTGGCCGACGAGCGCTCTCGTCGGGCCACCAGTGTTCTCTCCATGGATGATATAGAGGCAGCTCAGGCGCTTGAGGGGCTCCGTGCGGGTAATATCCCCTCGCCTCTTGGCTGTCAATCGCAGGCTGATAAGATGATTGATTGCTGTGCAGATTACGGACATCCATCCCCTCGAACTTCAACGCAGAACAATCCCGCCCATGCCCCGTCCGACTCCAAGCCCCAGCCTGAACCCCTCCTGTCCCTGCTTACCTCTACCCATCCGTTGATCTCCTCGGCCATCAACGGGTCTATGTCCGCATATACCTCGTCCAAGTCATATTCGCCGCGTTTCAAGTCTGGCGCCGAATTTATCGAGCGCAACATCGGCTCCCCCGTTGCAAACACGGTTGGAACCGTCGGTCGCAAGACCGGCGTCGAGAGCGGCCTCCGTTGGGCGCTACAGCGACGCGAATCCAACTGCACGGACCCAGCGAAGAAGAGACGGAAAGTAAGTGGTGAGAAGCAGCAGCCGCAAGACGTGGACGTGGAGAAGGGGCTTGCAGGTGACAACGACACAATGGATTCCCAGCGCACGCGCAGCTCCTCGGACCTGTCGCACTCGGAGCCTCTTCCGCCATATGATGACAACAAGTCGCCGAACTATGAGGAGATCGGCCGCCCGTCATCTCGTCAGAGCCCGGCCACCTGGCAGAGCCGACTGATGATCTCCACGTCCGGTCTGGGCGTCGCCATGAGCGAGGAGTCCCTGCGCAGTTTGCAATACTGCCTGACCTGGCTGCGGTGGGCCAATGGCCGGCTGGGCAAGGCCATCATCGCTCTCCAGGGCGCGATCAAGGAATGGGATAGCGCCAAGCGGGAGAACGGCGAGGGCGACGCCTCGTTGCTGTCGCAGCGTATCCAGGCCGTCAAGGAGGATGTCCTCTCGACCTTGAAACAGGTTGTCGATGTCGTCTCAAAGTATGCCGGCGGAGCTCTACCGGAGAACGCGCGCCACCTGGTCCGTCGCCATCTGACTTCCCTGCCGCACCGGTTCCAGGTCGCCTCGACGTCCAAGCCTCCCCCTGACTCACCGGCATCCAGCTCCGACGCGACGCTCGGCGCTCACCGTATCTTGGTGCTGGCGCAGGAGGGTTTGGACATGATGGCGCAAGTCAGCGGCGTGGTCAATGATACTCTTGTTAGTGCTGAGCATTGGTGCCAGAGACTGGGCAAGAAGCGCCCAGAGAGGGACAGCAAGCAGCCGAATGGTATGCAACCGCCGGAGTCCCGTCCGGAGCAGTACCCGGTTGATATCAAGCAGCCGATCCGTGAGGAATCTCAGGATGTTGCGATGGGGGGAACGGAGGAGAAGGTGTAACGAGTTGACTGAAGCCATTGTGCCTACAGCAGGTACTGTCCAGAGATTGCACTTGGCGCACAGAATGTGCTAAGAACGACTACTGCTGCGGTAGTGTCAGAGCACTACTTGCAACTCTCTTTGAGCTGGAATTCTCCTTTCTTTGCAGTATACCTTCGTTTTTGACTTCTTGTGACATTCGACGACTCGAGACTTTTCTGTCCGTATATTTGGTTTTCATTGGTCGATTGATATCCGCATAGCTTGTTTGGTTATATAGGCACGAAAGATTCGGCGTTGTTTTGGTTTTCAGCCGTGATTTCTTTCAGTCTTCTCCTGGGCCGGCATGCAGCTGGCATGTCATTCATTCGTCCGTCCCGTTCTGTCTTTCTACCAGCGTCGACTGCAAATGCTCTGTACGTAGGGTAATGTCTCCTAAAAGCGTTTCAATGACAGCAAGTTGGACAAAGTCTCGTCTTATTCAAGTTATGTCCCGCTGATCAAACGTACCACCCTCGACCTCGACCTCGACCTCACGGATGAAAGTCTTATATCCCTCGCGCGAACAGTGCAACCTCACTTTGATTGTCCTGGCCGCAGCGGCCCTTTGCCTTCGTCTCTCCTCGACAATCACAGCCCACTTGAGCCGTACCTCGTCCACCCGTTGCCGCCGCGCCATCCATTTCCGCCGCCACAACGCCATCTGATACATCGACAGATGCGGATTCTCATTCGGCGGCCTCACCCCCCTCTTCTTTCCACATCCTTTCCCTGGATACTGATACTCCGCCCCCGCGAGCACATCATCCACCAACGCAACCCTCCACCTCCACCGCCGCATCTCATGAACCTCCTCCACATCCCGACACAGCGTCAACAGCCCCCGCCGCGAGAGATAATGCACATGAATATGGAAATCAAGCATGTACCGCGCGAACAGCGCCCCGTCTTCGCCTTCGCCTTCGCCTTCGTCCCCTCTGCCCGCTTCTCGCTCGGCCAGTTCCCCCAACGCAGTACTGTAGCTCTCGTGCTGCGCCGGCGTCATCAGCCTTTGGTACCCTGGGACCTGTGGCTCTGGGGGTATCGTTCGCGGGGAGACGCCGTCTATCTCTGCTGTCTGTGGATGTAGGAACGGCGGGTCCCGGCGGGGATTGTAGAGGCCGGTGGCGAGGGCTGTGAGTAGAGATGCGCGGGGGAGCTGGGTGAGTTTGCAGGTTGTGCAGTGGAGGGCTTCGTCGAGGGAGGAGTTCTGTGTACTCCGTATGTTAGTTTACGTCCTTATCGTTTTGTTTAGATGGACTTGCCATTTCTTGTTCTTCGGGGTCTGGTGCTGGCATTTTGAATAGTATTCATGCACTATGAATGTATATTCGATTTGATGATTTATTATTTGGTGGTTGATTTAGTATCGGATCCATGTATGTGCGATGCAGTCGAAGCTGCATTATATATATACATATATTACAAGAAACAACCATGATGTCTTCTTCACTGTGTGCAAGAAATGTGACTCCATCACTTGATTTAGATCATTTGAACCAGGCTTGTTGCTGTAGTCATGAGTTTAGACTGCGGTATACATTCTTAATTTCTTGTATTGGGCAAGTCAGTTGATCGATGGGGTTGATGCTGTCACATGGCCGTGCCCTAGACCATCAGACGAATGGTTGTCCTGTAGGTATTACGCTCGGCAATCGTGGGTAAATAGGATAAAAGGTTGTTTCTAATGAAACAGGAAGATGCTAGGTAGATTTCTCATTAAAAGATGGAGTATGTGAGGAGTGGTTATTGGTTGCTTTTCTCTGAAGTTTAGGTCTTAGTAGGAAGGTTAAAGGTTAATGTATATTATTAGCGAGATGAATAAATGAGTAGTTCCAATCTCTATAGAGAATTATAGCCACTTGTGAGCATTCTGAAACTGAACAAGATGGTTTGAGGTTGTATCTGTTGCTTGGTCTACATATAACTGCCGTGAAAGACCTCCTTGATAGGGAGTGGTGTCTTGTAATTACAACACTGTAGAGACAGGCTAGATGACCACTATTATGCTGAGGTTTATGTCTCAGTCTGCAAAAGGAGATTCGGCTGCGCAACTGAATTTGAATCTTATGTATCAGCAACACACAGAGTCAAAATGTTACATGAGTAGATCAGCACAATCAACTGTGAGTGAATGTTAATATCCTCAAAGCAATTGTTCCTGTGAAGCAGATCAAGCATAATTCTACTCACTCTCAGAAGCACCTCTCCTCTGCCAGAAGCAGGAGTCATGTCCGAACCATTATCCGTCAATCTCTTTCCTGCCATCTGCCTGTTCCTCTCATGCGTGTTTGTGCTCTGTCTACACTGGAAGACCATATCACGCACCCTCTCACTATGTCATCCAAGACACTGGTACCAACAATGGACCTACGTCCAAGTAGACGACCAAGAAACCACTACTACGATGTGAGCATTAACCTCAACTCTCTCACAACACTTGCTGACCATGCCTCCAATCCTGCAGCGAGGAAGCGATTGAGCTGAGCTCAATAGATCCACACTCGAACTTGGAAACTGCTAGCGACGACGACCCTCTAACCAAATACTTTGATCCGCAGACCTCCATACTGCACGAGCACATCCTTGAGCCGCCCTCTCCTCCAATAGCGACTTGGGAACGGGATCTTCAGCATCGCATCGACAACGGGACAGGGTTGACTGCGTCGATAGACCGTTTTGTGGATCGGGCCGTTAGACGCGTCGAGGCTGCAATAGGTCATGCGTGAATAAACTGTGTTTGAGACTCGGGAGCTGTACGTGGCGGTGTATGTTGGCTAAGCTTACAGCGCTTAATGCAGTGCGGATAGGTAGAATGGAGTGGGAATGCCACGCGGCGTTGGTCTGATTCATGATATGCTATTAGTAGCTCAGGGTCCTTGCAGGACTCAGGCCAATAGTGCTCATAAACAAGGTCCAGTGGACCGGGGGCAAATGAGACTACATCCGAACTCATGCGACTTATCCTTTGATGTCGATCCGAAATACTCGCAGCCAGCCTGAAACACTTGGAATGGTATATTCAAGTCGTTGTTTATTCATTCGTCTATCATGTATATACTCTATATACTCTATCCCATCAAATGCCCCCCAAAGTAAGGAAACCCTAAACACAGCTGACCCAATCTATGGTGCGCAGTAACCACCGTCGACGACGAGGTCAGCACCGGTGGTGTAGCTGGCAGCATCCGAAGCCAGGTAGAGATAGGCGCCCTTCAGCTCTTCAGCACGACCTTCACGACCCATGGGGATCTTGTCCTTCCAGATGTTCTTGGTCTCCTGGGGCACGAAGTTTGAGATCTCTGTAGCGATGTAGCCGGGGGAGACGGTGTTGGCACGGGCGAACTTGACCCACTCCACGGCAAGAGATTTGCCTGGACTGTATTAGCAACGTCCATGAATATCAATCCAACCTGCCGAACTTACAAAGGTGAATGACAGCTGCCTTGGCTGCGTTGTAGGCGGCCTGCATCTGAGGGAAGTTCACAATGTGGCCACTCATGGAGGCAGTGGCCACAAAGCTACCATATGTGAAGTTGGAAAGCTTGTTGCCGTAGATGTCGGTTCCCTCCTCCTTCTGCCTCCGCCAGTGAGCAGCGGCGTACTTAGCGCAGTAAAAAGTACCGTTCAAGTCGATGTCAACCACATTAGAGTAGTGGTCCAGAGGCCCATCCACCATGGGTCCCTTGGTCCAGGGGATACCCGCATTGGCAATGAACACGTCTAGACGGCCATTGAAGTCCTTCACAGTCTGATCAACAGCCTCCTGGACAGCCTTGGGGTTTGTAACGTCGACTTGGTAAGCCTTGGCTGTGAAAGTTAGATCCTCTTTGTTCCATCTAGTTGACCGGAACAAATGCAAGCTCTGAGAAGTACTCACTCTGCACACCATACTTGGAAGCAATCTCAGCCGCTCGCTCAGGACACTTAGTGTTGGTGCCCCACCACAAGGCAACGTTGGCACCTGCTTCAGCCAGGCCCTGAGCCACGGCGAGACCAATGCCAGAAGCAGCACCCGTGACAATGGCGGTTTTGCCCTTGAGGGAGAACATCTGCATCAAGCTTGGATGTTCGGGGGCGGATGTGTTGTCGTGGACAAAAACACCACTCTCGTTGACAGGGTTGGAAGCCATTGTGAAAGATGGCGAGTAGAAAGGGAATAATTACAATCTATTGAAAGAACGTGACTGAAAAGAAGGACAAATGGAGAAGTAAATAGAAGGAGTAGCCGTCTATTATATAGGAGGGGCAGAAGCTATGGAGAGAGCATCAAGCTATGAAAATAGCAGCAAGCGGTGTAACAGGATGGTGGGGGTCAGCAAGGATAACACTGCAGCTCTTCTGTCTTGACGATAAGTCTTTTGAAATAAAGGTTATTAATCACATCGCTGGACCTTCCAGAACCCAAACACGGAGCTTACAGACGCCCGATGCGCTGCATCCCTATCCCTCTAGACCCGTCTATGCGTCCCAATGGTAGTCGGAGATTCTAACGGGGATATCCAACAGCTCAGTGGGGGCCCAGGTTCAGGGCAGCGCAGTGTCTGGCCATTGTGGATCGACTGAACCTATATGACGATAGGTGGCCCCAGAGCAGCCAGCCCGACACGGCGTTAATGCGGGTGGCTGAACATAGTCCGCGGGAATGCTTCTCGAGGAGAGAATGAACTCGGACGTCTCTCAAACTGTGATGTCAGCCTTCAATTCAGGAGTAAAAGGAGGCTCCATGATCTTCTGATATCAGAGATTCCATAGCCACAGCAGTGAATGCCTGTCTGCTGGTTTCCTGAACAGGTCAGAATGAGGATACAGGAGGATCAGAAGGGTTAGATTGAGGGGGAGACGTGGATGCTGTGGGTCGTTTCCCCGTGATCCAAGCCCCGTGATTGCGGCCTCCTATCGGACGGCGGATTCCCCTATTCGGGACAGCCGCCAATCACGTGATTTATCCAAGCCCCGACACTGATGAGAGTCAAAAGCAACAACAACGCGCCGGATGGAATGTTTGGCCTGCTGAATCTTCAGTTTCATAGTAGACAGACTATAGTCAGAACTGAAATAACTGTCGAGTTGACTACTCTTGCGAGTGCTCATACTTTTTTTTCCCCTCAGACAAAGAGATTTTGTCAGTGGCCATAATGTCGCAGTTGAGAGACAACACGCGGCCACAGTATGGGAACTTACGGATGATCATTCCTGACAAGGTCATGCCATCCAATCACCTCGAAGTGTTATGCTGGCTTCAGAATGTCCTTGTTGGCCTTATTGTGCCCTGCATAATGGATTAGGACACTTTGCCCGACAACCAGCGCAATCTCTGTCCTTCTCTCTGGGGGACCGTTATAACATGACATTGGGGGTCAGAATTTGCTGTGATATAATCTGGGTTCTTACTGCTCAAGCCCATACAGATCAAGTGCTTATTATTCGCACTGATTGCAAGATGAGGGTCAGCCTGTACAATGACGAGCATTCCGCGCGTCAACCGTAATGCGGCAACACATTCCTTTGCTTCAACCTGGTTTCCCCTTAACAAACGCAGAATCCCCCTAGGTGCCACAATTTCCATCTTGTACTGATCTGTATCTTTTGCCTCCTGGATTTGTCGCCCACAGGGGTGTTGGTCTGCTTCACCATTCAATCAAGGACATCAGATCCAGACCGATCTAAGCAGCTTCTGTCACTGAAACAAGCGATGAAAAGCTCCGGATAGCCTTGAGCTTTAATTCAGCATCAGTGTCTGCTCACTTGACGGAAGGGGCGGACGCGACTGACGATGCCGGCGCTGGCCACCGTGATCGCGGTGGCTGCCGTGTGCGCCGCTCTTTTCATCGTTTCCGCGGTGGTGGGAACACTCGTCTGGATAAAAGCCCGTCGAGAGCGTCGTTCACGAAAAGCAGTCAGCGATAGTCAGGGTCGGTACGCTAGGCAGTTACGAGCATTCGAAGCCGACACGGCAACATCACTGTCTCGGGAAGAGGGTTCTGCGCTGAGACTATACGGACAACTGCCATACGGAAAGCCAAATGAATGGGGCGTTCTAGCGAGCCGGGAAAGCCTCACTTACTCCACAGTGGACTCGGACACTTCTTCTCAACTCGCTGAAAAGGCTCGTTCGCTTGGCCGTTCGCTTTCACGATCCAAATCAACCCGGCAGCTGAAAGGTCTGCTCAGATCGCGCCCTCCAGGTCCCCTTGCTCCACTTGCAGAGGCAGCCGAGAGACCCTGTGACAAAGGGCCCCGGTACAGAGCCAGAGACCCTGTATCTGTCTCGGCAGTCGAAGGTGCCCTGGAATTACCGACAGAGATGACACCCCGACAAACGCCGGAAAAGGAAGAAGAACGAAGCCTCGCCGAACCATCGATCCGCCCACTGTCAACGGTGATGCCTTCGGTGCATAGGAGAGAGCGTTCGGGCAACCTCTTCCCAGTTATGGAAGACCATCATGAAGGATTCGAACTGCCTCCTTTTACTCGAGTACGAGGTGGAAGCATTACGACACAGACAGCCGGTGCCATTCCAGAGCAGCCGGTGCCGCCTCCGCCGTCGGCTTATCCCCCAAACCGATTCCGCCTTTCAAAGAATGATTCGATGCGGTTCTCATCGCTGAGTCTGGAGACGGCGGACAGCTCCATCTTGGACGACAGTCGGAGAACTTCAACTGCTATCGAGAGTGATTTCACTTCACCAGCATTACCTCCCTGCCCAACCTTCACACCCTTCAGCGCCAACGATGTCGGCCGCATGGAATTTGAGCGGCGAAGTTTCGCAGCTTCCAACTCAGCATATCCTGCACCATTCATCTTTCCTGCCACCTCGCCTACTCGTGACTCTCTGAGGCTGGAACCAAACCGTACGTCGCCTCGCCGCAGTTTAACTGCACGTAGTCCTAGCCAGACAGAGCGCGTCAGCCCTCCTCCTAGGAGGAGTGAATCTCTTTGCTCCAACCAGTCCAGAAGGGAGGTCACCTCCATGCCGCACCTGGACCCGAACGTGACTCCGCATCTGAGTGCAACAGGCTACAGCGGCTCGCTGCTGCCTTACTTCAGTCAGTTGCACCGGCACTCCATGTACGCAAGTAGGCGTACAGATGGAGATCCTTTCTACGGCGGCCAGGCGAGCTCACATATCTCAATTCACCCCCCTCGAGCACCCGCAAGGAGGGTTAGCAGTCTCTATGTGCCAGAAATATTTACACAGGTCCGCTCTGAAAATGCTCCTAAGCCACCATTGACCTCCGCCATGAAGAATACCCAAGGTCACCGAAAAGGCCACAGACGTCAGAACTGCGTCCGAATTTCGATCCACCCTCCCATCACCTTTGGGCGTCCTGCGTTCTCGCCAACGGCTGAGGAGCCCGAGGAGTTGGAAGACCTGAGCGTGCGCAGACCGGAAGCTCCGCGTCCGACCAGCTACGGTACTTCCTCGATGAATTCGAGTGTTGTCACCTTCTCCGCCAACAAAAATAACTCGTACGACTTCCAAAGACCCCGGCCACGGGTCACGGATGTCTTCTCTACCCCTGATGGAAGCCCAACCAAGAAAAGAAAGCATAGCAGAGCTGACTCAGGTGACGATTTCCTGAGCCCTGCGGGGAGCGACAAGACTCTACCAGAAATCATGACCTCTCTACCGTCCAGCAACGATGGTTCTCTTTCACAGACACCGTCTCCCGAGAAGAATGCTCCCCTCTGGCTGCTTCCCGTCTATGCAAGCTCGCCGACATCCCGCGAGAATGCATCACCGCAAACCAGTCCGCGTCGTTCGGCAGTCAAGGGGCCACGCACACTGCCAAATAAAATGGTGTACGGCAATAGTCCTCGCTCTGCGGCTCCACTCGAGGAGAACGACACTCTGTCAGTACAACAAGCCTCCTCAAGTACTCGCCCTCTTTCTTTGAGGCCTTACGGTAGTAGCAAAGATGTTGCTACTGCTACGGATCCCTTGCCACATGACGAAAGCAGCGCTGCCGTTCTAGACAGCACGCCTCTGAAGCAGCAAGACCAAGAGGATCTCCCATGCGACGTGCACAGAACGCTGAGCACGTCCAACGGCAATATGGTCACCATATGGGAAGACAATGATACGGAACGAAAGGCTCAGCGTATAGCTCCGCCAACCCCGTCTAACGATCCTGCTTCATGTCTAAAGAAATTTGTTCAAAACGGCAGTCAGCAAACAACGACAGATAACTGGACGCCACGCAAGTCAAGTCAAAAAGCGCCCAAAAAAGGCCTCACGACGCCTACCGGGAAGACAGTAGGATTAGGAATTGGCGCTGCGACTCCTGGGAGTTTATACGATGGAGACGGCTTCTTGAAAGAATAGTCGGGTCTGCTTTGCTTGGTTAGCAGGTTATGGAGTTTATAGGGCCATTCATTCGGCGGGTTCTTGGTTTTTTTCCTTGCTTGACAGCTTTCTAGGCATCCCTGCAGAACTGCATGATATCCGCGTGTTAGACAGATAGGTGCAGCTTGAATTTATCCAATCGTGTAGCATAAGGTCTTTGTCATTTTCGCATTAGGTACTTTCCCATAGTCAAAATAGCACCAGTAGAACCACGAATACTTTTGCCAACCCAAACATATATTGCAAGAGAATGAGCCTTGCATTCTCTCAAACAATCCATCTCACACAATAGCAACACCTAATCTGTCCTCCTCCACTTAGTCTCGTCCTCGCCTTGCCTATCACCACCCTCCGCACCCTCACCCTCGCGCTGCCTCACAGTCCCCGCCCCAGGCCCAAGAGGCAGCGACGGCTCCTCACCCCCACCAATCCAATTCCCCTCCTCATCAAAATACTCATGCATATTCTCCGCAGTGATCCACCCAGAACTACCATCCATAGGCGGCGGCAGACCCCCATCCGCACTCCCCATCGTCACGAAACCAGACTGCATGAGCGAATCCCCCTCACCGTCTCCTTCCTCGTCCTCCTCCTCCATCGGGTCGGGATGCAGATTCGAACAAGCCGATACAGCCGCATACATCATCTGCACCGGCGTCTCCTCCGGCTTTTCGGCTTGGTCTTCCATCGCATCCTCGCCGGTGGGAGCGGTGGTCGCGCCGCCGGCGTACTCTGCACCCGTTGGCGGGACGATCGTCAGCGTGATGCTCTCCTCCTCGTCGTCTTCGATGTTCGTCCCTGGGGCGACGGGGGTCGCGATCTGCATGTACAGGCCTTGGACTTCGGTGGTGCTGCCGGGGAGGCGCAGGCGCTGGATGGCGTGGAGGGAGATGGAGGGGTAGGGGAGTGAGACGCCGGCGGCGACGGCGGGGGCGTAGAGGAGGAATTTACTGTTAAATTGGTTTTAGTATGAGAGCTGGAATAGAGGGAGGGTGTGAGGCTTACTCCGATGTCACCCAGACATCCACACCGTCTACGACGAGCTCGTTTTCTTGTCCTTCTTCTCCGTCGGCGGCGGCATTGTTGTTCGTGGCAGCGGTGGAGGTATGGTCGTTAGATCCATTTGCTGTTGGGGTTGAGCCGCGAATCGCATTGAGGGCTGGTGTGGAGAGGAGGTCGCGTTCGATGATGACCAACTTGCACTGCTTGCTGTGGTAGTGGAGGACTGGAGGGCCGGAGTGGAATGACGCGGGCGTGCGCGATTGGTGGTCGGCCAGGAGAACGAACGAGGACGCCTCAGGGGCTGATCGAAGAGGTTCCATTGTATTTGGGTAAGGTGTAGTGACTTCAGGTGTATACACTTGTTGCGTGGTTGGAGGAAATTTACCAGAAGATAAAGCTGGTCGGTGATTGTTATCTGGAGGGGCGGGCGGGAGCTAGGGCCACGGCGGAGAGCTTCATTCACAGTGAGCTCGTCCCAGATACGTCAGGCGTCGCACTTGAGCTTCTACAAGAAAGATAGGATACAATATGGCATACGCTGAGTCTGAGGAGTCATGAGAGCTTGAACCTTTATCATTCAGGAATACCATGTGAGGGGTGTATCACGTTCAAAGGTTGCATATAATTGAGTGGGTCGTGCTAGATGCGCATCCAAATGTACATCCGGCTCATTGGGACCTAATCTTAACATACAGGCGCGATTTGAAGAGTGCACAGCATATTCACCTAGTCAAGTGCAGCCCACTCAACCGAAACCATAGGGTCGATCGCGGGTAATGAGAGACATTGCTGCTCGAGTCAGGCTAACCGGGGTTTGTGGTCCTTCAAGCCTGCTTCAACATCAATCTGCAGGTTTAGGACGTTGTAACGTAGCCGAAGCAGACAGATTAAATAGTCCATCTTTCTTGTGAGCCAGTCTGGCTAGTTCCAGCAGTGGATGAGGCGCTTCTGGTGGACAAGGTGCAATCTTGGTAAAAGACTTTGTCCGCACCGGGAAGTCTGAAATGCGCTCTGTTAAACAGATGTGTCTGTGCTAGAAGCAGCGCAGGAATCAGTTTCTGATGCCATGTCTGGCGTAGCACCGCTGCCTATTTCACATCCAATCCTCCAAAAGCTCGATCCAACTCTTCGCCCTCATCACGAGGTACCATGGCAGGAAAGCCGGAGGAACTCTGATTGCCGGATGCGCTGTCCAGTAAGCTATGGTTTGACTGATTCTTTGACGACTGAGCCGGCGCCGAACTGATAGGCTGAAGCAATTTCTCATCTCGATCCAGCCAACCCGGGGCAACACGCCTCTTTTCCGCAAGCTCTCGTTGCGATATTGCTTCCTCCCATTTCTTGATCGCGTTCTCGGCCTCGATTCGCGTCCTGTTCAGATGTTCCTCCAGCGACTTGCAAGAGGCCAGGATCTCTTCGGGACGCGCCGCATGCTCGCCGCTTGGGGAGACCACATAACGGGCTTTGATGTCCGGATTACTGGGATCAACGGTAACAGATGGAGGCAGAGTTGACGGAACCGACTTGTAGGTGTAGGGAAGAGTGACTGAGGTAGGGAGATTGATGAACGGGGAGACTGTCAAGGGGACTTGGGCAAGAAGCGGATGAGGACCTGTGTGGGAGGATCATCAGCACTCCTAATGGCTACTTCTTAATAAGATCATTCAGAGACGTACGGAATGATTCATACATGGCTGTTGCAAGCCAGTTCCCTAGAAGGAGAACGAGACAGAGACGATGACGTGTTGGAGTCTAGAGGACCAGAATAGTGTGGGCGTGGGGAAAGGCAAGAGGATGAACCGACGGACGGATATCCCCGCACTTCAGGGACAATTCCAGTAGTATTTGCCTTGAGGAATCTTAGGCTCCTGCGTTGATGCAAGAGAGGCCGATGATGGATGAATGAACATATAAACTTACGTATCTGATCGCAGCACCCGCCAATGGCACACCATCCAAGATCAATCAGGACTCGTAAATGCACGCGAAATCCAGCTTGACCTCGTCAGACGGGTCAGGATAGGTATCGATAATCTATCTTGTATTGGCAATCCTTGACCCAGCCCATACTAGAGCCTCCTCAGCCTGGTCAAAGACCTTAGAAAAGACCTGCCCTCAGCTTTTGCCAGTTCTCTCAGCCCATCGCAATAAATCTTGCATTGCCGACGAGCAATAACTGAATTGCTTTTTTGTTCATATATATCTTGTCTTCTACCTTTATCAAGTTTATCTCTTTTCCGCCACGCGACCCACGGTCACCTCAGCTTACACTATTTTAGGAAAAGGCAATACACTTGGCTGTATCCTTTGAGTCCTCAGGTTTCACATCCACAATTTCTCCTCAATATCGACACTTTTCTTCTTTACCCTTTGCCCCTTCTTCCTTCACAGAAAAAAATCCATCATCCACCGGACGATTGATCCCTTTGATCACCAACGTCAAGGCAGTTCCTCGATCCGGCCTTCGTCTCGTGTGTAAAATCCCGCCGCGCTTTAACCCCACCACAAACTCGCCTCCGCGCAACCAGCTTGCCCCCTTGCTCTTGCTCCGTCCACTTGCGCACCGAAAATCTTCGGCAGACTTGCTTCTTGGAAGCCGTAATATTTCTTAGTTCACACTGCGCAAGATGGATCAAGCACTGGCGCGCGCGGTGAGGGACAAGAAGCCGGTCCCGGAGATCGACTTCACACTACACACCATGGAGGATGGCACTCAGGTCTCCACTCTTGAACGAGTGATTAAAGGTACGGCCTAATATTGAGTCTTATCTGCGTCTTGATTTAAAGATTTGCCGTCTCTAACAGTTTGCGAATTCAGAGGTGCAAGCGCCAGCTTTGAGTACTCCAACGGATGAGATGTTTTGGTCTCCTGAAGACCCTTCGAAGCCCAACCTCCAGTTCCTCAAACAACATTTCTATCGGGAAGGTCGTCTTACGGAGGAGCAGGCGCTATGGATTATACATGCCGGAACTCAGATTTTGAGATCTGAACCTAATCTGCTAGAGATGGATGCGCCGATCACAGTCTGTGGCGACGTTCACGGTCAATACTATGACTTGATGAAACTTTTCGAAGTCGGTGGCGATCCGTCCGAGACGAGGTATCTTTTCCTGGGTGATTATGTTGACAGAGGTTATTTCAGCATTGAGGTGAGAGATGGCTACTTGGGAAACCTCAAGGTCGGTGAAGCTGATATCGGCTAGTGCGTTTTATATCTCTGGGCCCTGAAGATTTGGTACCCGAATACACTTTGGCTGCTCCGAGGCAACCATGAATGCAGACATCTCACGGACTATTTCACCTTCAAGCTGGAATGCAAGCATAAGTACAGCGAGCGTATCTATGAGGCCTGCATTGAGTCATTCTGCTCGTTGCCGCTGGCGGCGGTGATGAACAAACAATTCCTGTGTATACATGGCGGTCTGAGTCCTGAACTTCACACTCTCGAAGATATCAAATCGGTACGTTCTAAGCTGTTGGAATGTTACTTTTTGTTCTTTCGCTTATATGAATCATACAGATCGATCGTTTCAGAGAGCCACCGACTCACGGTTTGATGTGCGATATCCTCTGGGCTGATCCGCTTGAAGAGTTTGGACAAGAAAAGACAGGAGATTACTTTGTTCACAACAGTGTTCGAGGCTGCTCTTACTTCTTCTCGTACCCCGCGGCTTGCGCTTTCCTTGAAAAGAACAACCTGTTGTCGATCATTCGAGCACATGAGGCGCAGGACGCTGGATATCGCATGTACCGAAAGACTCGCACGACCGGGTTCCCAAGTGTGATGACTATCTTCAGTGCTCCCAACTACTTGGATGTCTACAACAACAAGGCTGCCGTTCTGAAGTACGAGAACAACGTCATGAATATCCGACAGTTCAACTGCACGCCTCACCCGTACTGGTTGCCAAACTTCATGGACGTGTTTACGTGGTCGCTTCCTTTCGTCGGTGAGAAGATCACCGATATGCTCATCGCCATCCTGAATACCTGCTCCAAGGAGGAGCTCGAAGACGAGACTCCTACATCCGTGTCGCCTTCCGCTCCTTCTCCTCCGCTCCCGATGGACGTGGAGAGCAGCGAATTCAAAAGGCGGGCGATCAAGAACAAGATTCTTGCCATCGGACGTCTCTCGCGTGTCTTCCAGGTGTTGCGCGAGGAATCTGAGAGAGTCACTGAACTCAAGACGGCTGCTGGTGGCCGTCTCCCTGCTGGTACTCTGATGCTTGGTGCCGAAGGAATTAAACAGGCCATTACCAACTTTGAGGATGCTCGCAAGGTTGACTTGCAGAACGAGCGTCTTCCACCGTCTCACGAGGAGGTCATCAAGAGAAGCGAAGAGGAAAGACGGGCTGCCCTTGAGCGTGCGCAGCAAGAGGCAGATAATGACACCGGCTTGGCTACTGTCGCCCGGAGAATTAGCATGTAAGTCAACCCTTCTTCTGGCAAGAAGATTCGTCGCCTAATAAAGCACAGGTCGGCCGGCTCTGGCAGGTCTCGTCGGCAGAGGGATACCCCCCGGGAGATTCGGGAAGCCTGAATTGGTTGGGTCACGTCCATGTCGTGTTTTTATTGCCGGCAGAGTGTCCGTCCGTGGAGCTCAATGCTTGCCGGTGCTTGGTATCGAAGGCCCTAGGTTTTGACCACCCGGAATCCAGTGAGGGCGCAGGAAAACAAGGTTACAAATTGCTCCCTTTGCATTCAACCTGTCATACCTTCTGGTTGAATGTGACGAGTGATGACTGCGACTCTGGCGACGGGGACATAGCTGTAATTTCCGCACAGAATTCTCGACGCGTCCGTGACGCCTCGACTACACGAGCTGATGAATTGATACACCATGGTTTTCTTTGCGCTATATGTATATGGTAGCGGATATTGTTGGTTCTTCGGTTGTACCGTTGTCTATACAACCAATGCTTTCCACTCTTTCACTGGGATGACTTATCTGGTAGACGTAGAGCGATTTGTAGACATTTATTGGCAATTTTCGATTTGAGAAGCCACGAAAATACCCCTGGCTAAGGTACAAAAGAACTGGTTTTGTGGTAACCCATGTTGTTCTACTGCTATGTCAATTGCCATCCCGCCAAGACAAGTCGATAATTCCCGTTTTGCGGAACGGAAGACTTGCTTCGGCTCACTCTCCCCTCTCCAAATGCTCACCAACATACCACTCGCGTCGAGTCAATGCCTCCCAATCTCCGCAGCTCGATTTCGAAGAGCCTATCGCGGCCCTCGGACAATGGATTGATCTTCTACTGCCCATCCTGCTCAATCTGGAGACGAAGCCTGACAACGCGTGTCCGCGGCAATGTCACTCCGCGACGAGATCAGAAACATCTGCCATCATCGCCATCGATACCCTCGACGAATGTGTGCCGCCGTCAACTTGCGACGCCGTCCTTGGTCAGCGCTCGGAGGAACGTGCCGGAACGGTTCAGGGAACTGTATGAAGCCTTGAATCGGGTCAGGGATGCCGCGCCGGAACAAATCAATATCAGCCGATTACAGCTTGCCTTGCGTGGGTTGGAGTCGGAAGTCCCGCTTATCCGCGTAGCTGGTTAGTACCTGTTGATATGTGGAAGGGATTGAGGAGATTGGAACAGCGGCTAATGATGGCTTCGTCTACAGTCCTCGGTTTAAATGACGCGACGGCTGCTCGCAGGCTCGTTCGTCTGCTGCTTGCTGATCCCTTGAGTTCTCGGGAACCCTGGGAGGATGTATTAGATTCTGAGGATGCGGATATGTCGCGGGGCTTGCTGATCCGGTATTAAGCCTCGCTGCCTCGTAGAATTGAGACGCTGACTGGTTGACAGATACGGAGAAGTATCGGAGACGATCCCCAATGACCTCCTACCTACAATCTCGGTGCCCTCGTCGATCTTGAAGAAAGGCAATATTGAAATTCTGGTCTCTACGCTCGGCGCGGAGACGGAGTTCTCGCCCGCCCAACTCTCTGCGGATACATTCCTCGTGCCCACGGTGACGATACCCATCTCGCAGTCCGGTCGGCACAATGCAGTGCGCTACCCCGTCCACAGGAGTATTGTCTGTGGAAAGGGCGTAGATGGTTTACTCGCATACAGCGGCTTGGTTGCTCGATCGGACTTGAAGAAACAAGCGCGATTGGTCTACGGCGCTATAGCACTGCCTGGCACTGCTGCCGAATCGGCGAGCGATCGCATAAGCTTTGTGGACCTCGACAAAGCTGATGTCGCCTTGGCTAAATTTCGCGAATCCGTGCAGAATGCGTCACTGTACGAGCAGGGGTGGAATCAGAGTGGTGTGCAGCCGGTGGTGGATTGGCTGTCCTCCTTGCGGACAGAAGCAGGAGCGTTGGATCCCTCTCTGAAGACTCTGATTGAGGCACTGATCGATTCCGCGGAGACGAGTGTGCTCACAGAGGAAAGCAGGAGGATTCTGGAGCAAGAGATCGAGTCGGTCCCTGAAGAGGTCCGCGAGCAACTGGTCCAACTTGTATCTTTATGGGCGGAGAGGGCTCACACCGAGCTACAGAGTTCGCTCGAAGAAGGATTCGCCAGCAAGCCATGGAAAGGCCTCGCATGGTGGAAGCTGTTCTGGCGAGTGGACGACATTGGCATGATCACATCTGAGATCTTGGAGAAGAAGTATCTCTGCCGAGCGGAGAAGGAGGTGATTTGGACTGCGGGCAAATTCGAGCAGGCTGGCGTGCTTGAAGCACCACGCATTTCAACCGAAGAGGTGCCCGCTGAGCCTGCGAAAGAAAACTCGAATAGTACTGAGCTTCAGACAACGCCAGCGCAACCAGCGGAGCCGTGGCCGACGCAGATTACCAACAGCCGAGCAAAACTTCTAGACACAACCGTGCCGTCGTTGCAGGCTTTAGCGCAACGACTGGTGCTCTTCAGCTTATCGACTACGACGCTGACAACCGCGCTGTCCGCACTGACATACGTCTCGCTCCCTACTGCCTCCATCTACGAGACAGGCACAATGGCCGCAGTGGGTTTGATCTACTCTCTGCGGCGACAGCAGAAGAATTGGGATGCCGCCAGAAACTTCTGGGAGGAAGAAGTCCGGGAGGATGGGCGAACCGCTCTGCGAGAGACAGAGCAGCACCTGCGTACAATTGCGCAGGAGGGAGGAAGACGGGTTGAAGAAGCCTCGCCAGCCAACACAGCCCGTCAAAGCATTGACGAAGCCAGGAAAGCTCTTGAAGAGCTAGATTAACGCACCTTAGTAGACGCCCATCTCTAGATCAACGTACTGTACAATACCATTACTACTGTTTCTATCATTCATGTAATCTCCACACTCCCCTCGGGTACACCCTGCCAACTGCGCAACCGCCGCGCAAAGAACTGCATGACGGGCATCATCTCCTCCCGGTTCCGCGGCATCCCATCCCCTTTGCGCGCGTACTGATGGACCTCCACAAACTCAAAGACCTGCTTCGTCCGCCGTATAGCCCCATCACTCACGGCCGTCGGCTCCCGCCCACCCACCAGCAACACCGGCGTCCGGCTCTTCGCTCCAACCGTACTCCCCGACAGGGGATACGGCGCCCCGATGGAAATCACCCCGGACAGAGACGTATCCTCCGCACCGCCCCCAGCACTCGCACTCGCACCCTGCGCTTTATGCTCGTTCAGCTCCCTCGCAGCAACCAACGCAACCATCCCGCCCTGCCCGAACCCCAGGATCAGAATCTCCCGCGGCCGATACCCGCATTTTTGCACGAGCACGCCGCGGATCACCTCGTCTACCAGCAGGGTCGTTGCGCGCTTGAACCCGGCGTCCATGTCTAGCGTGCCTGTCGCCGAGTCGAAGGAGACGTCGTCGCCCCAGTGGAAGCCGCCCAGGTCGAAGGGGAGGGGGTTGGGCGCTTGGATAGTCACGATGGTGGTTTCGGGGAGGTTGAGGGCTCGCGCGAAGGAGGTGAAGGCTGCGGCTGTGTCGCCGAGGCCGTGGAGGAGGAGGAGGATGTTTGGTGGTGCGGGGTGGGATGCGCGGGGTGGGCTCTGGGGAGGGGTGATGGTTACTGTGAGGTTGGTGGGGAAGTCGGCTGGCGAAGGGGATTTTCTGGATGTCATTTTTTCGGCTGTGACTTGGGGCACTAGGTAGGTGTGGTTGGTGTTGAGATGTTGTTTTCAGTAGTAGGTAGCTGTGTGAGAGCTTTATCGGTGGGGGGTCGGTGGGTGGGAGTTGGGCTATGTCCTCAATTGGGTGGCAAGATGATTATAGCATGGTAGAGATTTCCTTGTATGTCAGATTAAGAGTCCCATTGTCTGTGGTTCATGCAGTAAGCAGTAGTCGTCGAGAGAAGCAAGATTCAGACATGACGCCGGAGGAGAACGTTCTAAGCTCAAGCTCAGTTTATGCCTTATACATCAGGCCACAACGAACGCAGCGCTCTGCCTGAAATTTCTGGAATCCATTTCCGGTCCTTTCGTCAAAGAGACTCAAGCTGAAGCTTCAGATGCAAGCTCCGATAAGAGAACCCTGTGCGGAGTACCCCTGAGAACCCCCGAGTACCCCTCAGTCTTGCACCTCCTCCTGATTGAGCGGCAAAACCGCGACACAAACATGCAACAGCAGGGAGTAAGGTATGCACGGAAGGTCAAAAAGACTTGACCCATCAAGCTCAGTCATTTACTGAGACGATACTTCTCCCTGGTGTGGATACTTGGGTAACAACTACAAAGTATCACAGAAGCACCCTCTGCAGAGCCCAGGACAACATTGGATGGTTGAACGGCCAGGAGGACACCGCTTCATCCGAAGGTACTTGGGCCGTAAACACTACAACATATCTAGCTCGTGTTTCACTTTCACCGACTGGACTCCATTGAGTCCATCCAGCTTCAGCCACGATGCTTAGGACCTGATGGTAGTACACCGCCACTTCTGAGGGGTGCAGATGCATGCATGATGCAACGTAGAAGCTTCTCCTATTGCACTATTGACGGTGAGTCCTATTATGGAGCTTTGAAGTGGGGAGCATCCAGTAAGTAGTGGATTTCGTACGAAGACTCAAAATCAAGAGATGCGCTCCACCCTCTTGTCAGTGACTGGACGCATACATCTCTTCTTATGGAGATGGAGTTATTTCGACGGATTGCACATGGACTTCGTAGAGGATAGCAAAGTAGGCAACGGTCCGTAAGCACGCGTTCGTACGGCTGTACGACCGACGACCGTACGAGTAACCACAGGGCGATAGACAAGCCTTGACAAGAGTGCTTGGCGGTCTCACCAATTCCTCGGCGATTCGGCAAATTGACGGTAGCATCACTAGCTGAGTCGCTCAGTCGAATCATTCGATACTGAAGTGCTAAATAGAGGAGTGTGGATACTATGGCTTATCCAGAGTACGGCTGAGGGAGAAGACCCATGTATCGGTCGATCCACGGTTGAATTGATGACTCTGTTTCATTATTACCTTTCGGAGTAAGAACTCATTACCAGACGAAAAGTAATAATATAGCAGCAGTAGCATGGGATACTCTCTACTTGTATGGAAACACTCAAGGCTGCAATGTTCCGGCGCTGGTCGAATGGAATCTGAGCTACTGTAGTTGGGGATCGGTGCCACAGGAGAGAGGGGATGGGATGGTGATCTTGAGTTCAGATCCGAGGCCGTGTTGCTGGTAATAATACAGTTACGAACAGTAAATGCTACTGCCTAAATCTGAGGCAATTCTTCCAGCTGAAACTGCTCCGTCGTCCTCGTGGAGCAATTGCTTCACTAGCTGGAGTATGGAGACGCCTCCAACCCCGAGTCGCACGCCGCAGCTTGCAAGTCCCCGACATTGGACAGACGCTGTAGCGCTTGCGACCATATCCACGTAATCCGAAACATCGTGGGACGGTAGCAGCGAGGATAGGTTCTCTGGAGTAGTGCTAACTACTGCGTAGAGAGGTGCTGCCATACCGTTACCATATCCTTTACACCACTCTCACGAATAGGGAGTGCAGGATGACCCATCCGATCTCCTCTACACCCTCGTAAGGCTTAGGTAGTGGAGTTATGAAAATAGACGCTGAGACGATGGCCTATGAGGGACAATGAGGCCATTTGAGTCCCCTGAGGTAGCTAATAACCCCGCCATGTGCAGGGATATAAGTTGAGCAGACTGCCTTCCCATCTGTGATCCCGAACTATCCCATCGCACAACTATCACAGCACCTTTCAACTGCCTTTAGATTCCTAAACGCGTTCTTGATTTCACCAGATCAATTCAAAATGGCTTGGGGCTGGGGTAAGTCGTTCCTTTTCACCAACCTTGAATGTGAATCTGGGAAGCCCTCCTGCTAGGATCTAGAAAGGGTCCCGTTCTCTTTTTGCCCTCCATTCTGTCTTTGCTCGTCGTGTTCGAAGACTAATGACATGATCCAGAACAATCCGACGACGCTCACCGTGAGGTGTACGGCGAGCGCAGGCACGAGAGCAGCCTGTCTCACGAGCTCATTGCTGGAGCTGCCTCGTTTGCCGGCATGAAGGCTTGGGAGGACCACCAACGCCAGGAGGGCAAGTATATCGGACCCTACTTAGTATGTTAGCAAGCACTGATAGCATCTCAATCTGTTAGGCAAGCCTGTCAGCCACGCTTTCGCCAAGGAGGCCCTGGCAGGGTTCGTCGGTGCTGAGGTCGATAAACTCATCGAAACAAAGGGACTTGATGAGGCGGATAAGATACGCGCTCGTCGCCATGCTAAAGAAAATGCTGAACGCATGTACGATGAGCACTATATCGACCGACAGGGTGCTCCAGAGTACGACCCGGGTCGCTACCCACCTCACGAGCGCTTCGACCGCCCTGTCGACCGTTGGTAAACGCTTGCTGTACGGGACGGCCAGACAACATGTACATAGGTTAGAACAGTGGTGATGGATGATAGACATGAATTGAATATCTCTGCATGATTGCTGAAAATGATCAAGTTGCTCTCACATTTTCATACATGAATGATCATTGATAGTGTCGCTCCATGACGCAACTCGAGAGAAAAACAACAGTCAAATGTCCTTGAGTGACGCCACCAGTCTTGGCAGCGTTGCGCAGATATCCGGTATGTAGGAGTCCGCCTAGACGGGCGATATGCACGAATATCAGCTTTATTTATCCGTAGATAGTTGCACGAGAATCTCCCGGTGCACAACTCTAGTGCTTTCAGCATTTCAACAATGCATTGGCATTTTGTCACTTTGCGGACTTTGAACTTTAATGAGTCGGTCCAAGTCGCTTGACGCCATTTCGCAGTGCCTGGTCCACATATCACAGAGTCACATGTCTACGGTGATTGAGCAAGGGTGATTCTAATAGGCTCCCGACGTGGTTCCTGAAGCGCAAAACCAACGGATTCAACGGATCAAGACCGCTCTGATGAGAACATCCTGGGAATAGAGCCATAGAGCCCTCTTGATGTGCGGATGGGTCGATATGCTCTTCTATCGAGTGATCATCTAGAGCGATAGACTTTTTCTTCCGATTAATAATAGGTACCTTAGTAAATATCAAAATACCTACCAGCCAACCAGATGATCCGAAACTAAACCGTGGTCGATGCACAAATGAACTCGTCGCATGCTGCACGTGCGCCTGTCGAAGGTGATTGACCAACCAGCGTGCATTTTCTCTATCGTCTGCTTAAGTGCTGCCAGATACGACCACTAATAGGTAGCTAGACTGCTAGAGGACCATGTTTTACTCAATTGACTGCCTTTCTTCCTGTTCCCTTGGAGAATTAGTCTACCTCGCCTACCTTATCCGCCTTAGGATCTACTTACTTCTTGGCAGATTCAAACACGCCAGAATCTCTGATGACGAACTTTTTCCAACCGGGTTGAAAGTTTTCTTGTGGTTTTACCAAACTAATTCTTTCTCTAGCTCCTCTGATCTTCATTCTTTGTCTCTTGGAGCTTTTGCGCACTGCTTGCACTCGTGATTCTGTTCCAATTTTCTAGGACATTTCATATGTCACTCCCTTTCCTGGTGTGATGGCTGTTTTTTTTCTCCCCGACTAGACAGACTATCCCCGGCTATCGTAATTGAACGAAGCCAAAGAGCGCGCCGCCTGCAAGTAATATCTCGATATCACTAGCAGCCTCTTCATCCTTCGGCAGATCTTCCCTAAGCTCCCAATGGGATCCAATCAAGTTTGATCATCCAGGCCCCTGTCTTCATTCCGTCTTCTATTATCATGCACAATCCCGTCTGCTCCCCAGGATGAAGTTCGCCAAGTTCGTGATCCCCGATCTCCATTCACCCCGCACAAATGGCAGAGAGCTAACATACGATCGATCTTCAGAGAGTTAGAACAGGAGCTGGTTCCTGAATGGCGTGCTAAATACCTGGATTACAAGGTAGGCTATCTGTGTCATGAAACTCTATCTCTCAATCACATGGTCTCGTGCTGATACATTGATTTTTCTGCGAGTAGACCGGCAAGAAGAAAGTCAAAGCTATCGCTCGGGCAATTCAAAAGGCCAATCGAAGTCCTCGGCATCCGTCTCTCAGACGTACAGCTATTGGGCCTGGTGATCAGACTATTACACCCTCTGGCACGTTTCGCTCCTCGCCTGGTCAAGCCTCAGACAGCAAGAGACTCGAAGTTCCCAACTCGTTCCGCAGCCCGTCAATCCCGATCCGGGGCGATGCCTATGCGACGACGACGTCCAGATCGACTCCTGGCCAACGCGATGAACGTCAGCCCTTGCGAGTCCCGGGATCGCGCTTTTCCGCGGTCATGGGAAGTTATGGCAGCATCATAGCGTCACCCCCACAGCATGGCGCAGCTTCGGATTTAGTCTCTCTAGAGCTCCCTGACCCAGCACTCGATCCGAAGGATGATATCTCCTATTCGCCGCCAGAAGACACAATACGTCGAGGTGTACCGAAGACCCCGTCCCCCGTGATGGCTCGGCGTGACACCAATCGAAGTCTGTGTCATGATGCCGCCAGTAAAAGTCCTGCCGCGAAGCACGCGGGGAGCAAGGGAAGCTTGAGAAACAATTTGGCAGGGCCTTCCACTATGAGGACTTCTCAGATCCTCAAGCGTGTCTTCTCGCACCCAGACTGGGAACCGCCCG